AAAAACGTGGAACTAGTTCGAGAGTCTCGTTCAGGTGGCGCGTCGACGCTCCAAAATCTACCAAAACACAGCTCCAGATTCCAATCAAAAACCAACTCCAGACCAATCAAAAACGTGGAACTGCTTCGAGGGCCCTCCACTAAGGTGGCGCGCCGGAACCAAAGAAAAATTGAGACCACCAAAAACAGGCTCATTGACAATCTCCCTACTCATCTCTAATGGTACTACTGGCAAGCTAGAGCTAATTATAAAGTGTGTGTATGTGTGAGAGAAAGCAAAATAGAATATTAAGGATACCTAGTCTGTAACTTATAGGACAATATATCATTATTCTTTTTATCTTAAAAACTCGAGTGTCTAAATTGTTTCTGAAGACGCCTGCCCAGTGCACAAACCCTACAAAAAGTCTCGTGATTCCGAAGGCTATAAAATCACGAAACGTCTCAATACGTATTCACACACACCATTCTATTCCGGAAAGAGCCCATAATATGGCGGAGCCAATCACTAACAAGCCCCACCGTTGGCCGGACTCTTACCAGAGGGACTCTACTCACTGTAGCCGCAGAAAGTGTAACTGGGAATAGAAAGAGAGAGCAAATCGTAAGGATCATTCTGTCCTTCTCTTGGGCAGGAGCGGAATCAGGAATAGGGGAACCCCGCGCAGTAAAATGTATGTCTCATGATGAACTTTATTTATATATTTTATAAGTTTAAGAATTGATTTAATCTTATGTTAACCATAAAATTTAAGGTTATATTTCTACTTTATTTACTTGCGAGAGTTTATCATATTGGGCTCAAAGTATACGTCTCGCGATAGCCCACACATAACACAATGAATTACCATTTTTTAATATTGAATTTTTATAAACTCGACTACCATAAAGCAATCACGACAATTGAAACTTGACGATGGATTTAACTCACGGAGGCTTCTGTCTCCAAGATTCGACTGTAACAACTTACATACATTCTAGATGTGCGGAGTAATCTTTCACATGGTTCTTATTTTGCACATTACAGTCCTGAACCCCTTCCATCCAGAAACCTTTCGACCAATAGAAAAAATATAGAAAATGACAGAACGGTCCTTACGATTTGCTCTCTCTTTCTATTCCCGATTACACTTTCTGCAGCTATAGTCAGCAGTCCAGTACTATATGTCGATGGTTTATGCTCCATCCCGGTATTTCTATGTTAATGCCTTGGTCAAATTTCGGTTATCTGGCACATTTCCTCATTGGAGGAGACAACCATAAGGAAGACTGGCACGTCTCCTCATTGGAGGAGGCAGTCACAAGGAAAGGAAGGAAGGAACCATAAGGAAAGGTGGAAAGGATTTTGGTTATAATACTTTGGCTCATCTCATGCACTTTGGAGAATAAATATGAAAATCACGTGCGTTATATGTTGCGATCCCCTTACACCATCGGATGACGTATTTTATACTCCATGCGGTCATGTATTTCACTTCTCCTGCATCGTAAAATGGTTGGAAAGGTAAATATTCTTTTGTATTAAACTTTTTTTTGAGAATATCATTAGTTTAAGTTTAGATGCTTTTATTTTTGAGATTCTTTTTTCAATTTTTCACATAATAAATCATGTCTAATGTAATTTGTTCTCGTATGCGTAATACAACTTTTGCTCATTAAATTTCAGTAAATACTTTAATGTTAAATGTATATTGTGATATTAATCTTTTCTTTTTTCATAGATCCAAATCATGCCCACAATGTCGAGAGAAAGTTACAGAAACTAAGATCCACCGAATTTACTTCAATTACTCTGATACTAATGTGCCTGTTGAAAGCTCTTCCTCGCTACAAGAGCGAGTTGAAAATCTTAAATTTCAAATAATGTTGAAGGAGAATGACATTAAGCATTATACCTCAAAGGCTGCAACCCTGGAACATCAAACTTCAGGACTTAGGAAAGAGGTGCGGAAGCTTGAAAGTGAAATGCTACAAAAGGATTCTGCTATATATGCTCTACAAAAGCAGATAAATTATTTAAAACAGCAAAATGAAGAGGCTGAAGCAGCAAAGAAACAAGCTGCCGTTCTAAAAAGAAAGTTAGAAGAGTTACGAAGGTATGTCAAAACTTTCAAACAGTTACTGTTAAAAGAATATTTCAGGATAATTTATGTATAGGGTTATTCATGACAAACGCATCACCTGAAGATGGTTCTACCATTGAAATTAGACAGAATAACTTAAGGTGTTGTGTTTTTCATTAATAACCCTGTATAATAGAATTTGTGAGATCAAGTTTTAGTATGATGAATTCATTAACAATTATTCCATTACTAGTGTTCAAGTTATACTGGATGCTCCTGCTGAAGAGGTTGATGAAATTATAGCAAATACAAAAAATCCCGCTAGTCTTGCAACATATATTTGTGTGATCAAAAGGCGAGCTATTTTCTTTAATAATGTATAATTAAAATTGTTAGATTAATAACAGTTCTAATAGATTTTACAATGTAATGTCATTAGGGAATTGACAAGCAGTTCTAATAAATGTAGAGAATTACGGACTACTGCCAAGAAGTTACAGCAAGATCTTACAAAGGTTTCCTTAGAACGCAACTTTCTCAATGATGAACATTCAAAGAGAATGTATGTTTGTTTCAATATGAATTATTTCCATACAAGAAATTTCATAAATTTTAAATGTATTATTTTTATTACAGGCAATTGCAAGAAGATTATGCAATATGCGAAAGTGAAAAAATGGCACTTCAACAAAAGTGTGCAGAACTGGAAGCAGTAATTTCAAATTGCTCCAGTTTTAACAAATCTAATGATAGCAATCGTTTATCTATTGAAAGTAATACACAAAGGGAAGACACCTCGCGTATAAGCTTATCCTCTTCAGTCGAAAAGAAGAACAGTGATGATTCAGTGATTTTTGTATCGGTAATAATCAATGAGCTTGTTGCAAATATATTTGCTTTATTTGGATTAAATAATATTCGCGATGGATAATCGAATTCTACGTTTTCTTCTCTAAATATCATTTCTATTTTTTAGTATTCAGTTTCTGAACCTTCGCGGTCGACTGAAAATGTTAATAATTCTCAAGTAAAATCGATTGGTGTTCCTACTTTGAAAGCACAACATTCGCAACGGCACAAAAATAGTGGATTTTCTATCTTGGCAAAAAAATCTAGAATATCTCATCCCTCTAATGTGAGTACCATACATAGGTTTTTGTAATTCTTTTTAATATAATCAAAATGTTAAAAGATACATCCTGCATTTGAATGTAGCATACATCTTGAAATTGAAGGATTGTATGCTAAGTAGCTTCAGATTAGATATTAAATTCTTCCTTTTTGTACATATTGTGTAAATCACGATTATACTTTACTTGATAGGATGGAGTATTCTTCATTAATGTATTTATTTAAAAAACTTGTCCCATTTGAAACAAATATTATAAATATATTCATATTAGCTACTTCATACTAATTCCTTATTTTATTAATGTTATTAGATATAATTAAGAATCAGCAGTACTTCCATTGAAGGTATGAAAGTGTCATTGTACTTTTTGCTTCAGACACGCGTGATACCTGAAGATATTACATACAATGGGTTTGGTGGTCATTCGAAATCTGACAATTTTCCTACATCTAGCAGTGGCACAAAACAAAAAAAATTAAACGACTTCCGCAAATCCAAAAAACTGAAACTTGACAATTGAAGCATTCAAGCATTTACCATTAACAAAATATAATTCTGTATACAATTAAATTTTAGGATTTCTTCCTGGATAGTTCGACAAGAAGTTGTATATTATTTTAATTATTATATAAAATATCAAGAGACTGAACTTTACAATTGAAGCATTCAAGCATTTACCGTTAATAAAATATAATCCTGTAAACAATTAAATTTGAAGATTTCTTCGTGGATAGTTCAACAGGAAATTGTATATTATGTTAATTATTTAAAATATCTGTACATTTCTGCGATGTAGAATTTGGTAGTGAGTTTTGTAACAAATAAAAATGTTTAATTTTCATATTTCATTTCATGTTCAATAGCACCTTTCATATTTGTCATCATCTTATTTTGTGGACCAAGAAAATATATTTATGTAATCCTATTCTATTTAATGGCATTATTTATAATATTGTGAATAAACTAAGAAGCGATAATTTTAAATTGAATAAACAAAATTTTCGTTACCTCGTTAAAAAAAACATACTCAAGCATAACGCTGTTCTGTTGTCTCTTGATCCATTGTTAAAAATGTTCAGAGCACACACTGTTATTCAGTAAAAAAAATACCAACAAAAATATAAAAATAAAAGTTTCTTAGGTCAAGTATAACTCGTATTATAAAAAATTAGTTCACAATTAAGATGCCTAATAGAAACATGTTAAAAACCCAAACCACTTCTCGTTTACCGGCATTGCAATCATCTTTCATGGGAGCGTATCCTCCCACTAAGACTCATGCTACGTCATACAATGGAGGCATCATTAATTATTTTCAAAAATACAGGAATGAAGTACTATCCAGATTTTCGGTATGTTTTTTAAATATATCTTTTTTCACATGGCTAATCCTATTTCAAAAATTGTTTCCAAAAGATGCCATCGTATGATTGGGGAAGTTCTCGCAAAGTGACGTATGTACCAAGACCTGAATTAGTATCAGCAATCGGGGTTCATAAATATGAAAAATCCTTGGCAATACCAATAAATAATATCACAACTATAGATGCTGGACGTATGAGAGAGGTTGATGAACTGTATAAGGTAACCGTAAATCTTAACTTGTATCAAGTTTTCTTCAATTTGACCACACTAGTTCAATAGTCGACTTGTTATATTGAACTTCAAAGCCGCATGCTCGTTTCGTAAGTTTCAACTAGCTTTTCAGTTGCGCAAGCAATTTCCTTCGTAATCATTCCTAACGCGGTTTGTACTTTGGAAAGAGCTTGTTAATAATTTTATGAAAAATATGTTTCACAGGGAGTGCAGATGCATCGCCAACAATATAAGGATCACACGAGAAAACTACATCCTTTAGATTTCTTCAGGTCTAATGAGTATTCGTATCAGTGTGCACCGAGTCTTTTACCTTCATATTTATTTAAATATCCACAAACTTATATTGAGTATAAATTACCGTCAGTTTTACCATTGACGTATGAGAAGAGAATGAATACACCATTTATTCCTGATTTAGCATTTCCAGGAATATATAACTCCGGCAGTTGTATCGCTTATAAAAGATGATCTTGAATTAGAAAGGAGTAATCAGGATCGTAAATTGTTAATTTCTATCTCGGTTAATTAAATATTGATTCTTTTATTATTTTGATATCGAATAGGTTATTTTATTCACTTATTTAGCTGTTTAAAAAAACCCAATGCGCTCTCTACAGAGTGTGAGAAACACTTCTTGTTTTAGATGATTAATTATTGAAAGTACTTTGACTTTGGCAGTACCTTATCAGATACCAATGTGACAACAATTTTATTCGAAACTTTCAATCGAACCAACATACCCGTTATGTGCGATTTGTTCTCTAGTTGTTGCCAACGAAGCACTGTCGACATTGTCATTTCCAGTTATAAGAGAAATATTGATGTCATACTTCAATTTTTCATGGAGTTGATAAAAATGAAAGGTAGAAGCAATCACTGAAAAAAGGGATTAAACGAGTTTTACCTCTATATGACAAATGTTCGTAATATTGTGCGTTTAATAGAATAAATTGAAAGTTTAAGAATAGGGCGTGGTTTCGTTTGTCATACATACATAAATCCTACGATTCTTAAGAGTCGAACGCACTTCTAATTGTTTACTAACGTTCACCATTTGCCCGTTGTATGTCAAATAACTTAATTGTTCTCTCGTATGATTAGCTAGACTTTTTTATCAATTACTACGGAGCACTGAATAAATAAAAAATGCACATACGGACATAATCATATGGTGTCTATTACTAAATGCTTACGTGGAATTATAATAAAAATGTACAAAGTGTATCAGCTAAGATGCACATTTGCGATTTGCGGTAAAACGGTTCACAATATAAAAAATCTGATGTAATGTATATTTAATATTTTCTGATTGTGCATCGAATGGGCATATTATTAATGTTGGTTTGACTTCTGTTCGCAAATAAAAAAAATTATCTTTGCCATTTTAAATAATATCGAAAAAAGTTAAAAGCAAAAGTTGTGCAGCAAGAAAAAATAATAGAGATGAAAAATATTTTCATCTCTATTTTCATAAAAATAATATAATTAGAGATGAAATTTTGTCATTTTTTGACATATTTTCGATACTGGGCTAACGCTTGGTTTCGTGCAGCAACTTCATGCCGAACTCTTGATGCCCAATTGTTTTGAGATAAGCATTCAGTCAGACGCAAACCCGTACACGGTGGCTAAAACATATTGCAATGCTATTTTTTTGTTACAAGTTGGAAGTCGAAGTATTCTTGGCGTAGATTTCCATTTTCCTAGACGTAGATTTTGGAGTCTTCGTGTTCCTGAACGTATATTTCGGAGTCGAAAAGTCAACACAAACTTGACAACATGAAGAAAGCATGAGTATACCAATTTGCGACTTCCGATGGTGAAGTTGGAGAAGACTTTTCGGCTGTGTAATGAACTTGGTATTGGCCACGCTAGGTTAAGATACCTTAGAATTCTAATGTTGGATATTCTTAGGTTTATTTTTTTTTTTTAACGAAAAATATTCCTAGTTATATGTTCATCATATAACATCTATATTATATGATCAGTGACATGCAAAGAATTGTTTTGATCATTATTCCTCAGAGTGTGGAATATAGTAGGCCTACTAATGTCATGTTAATATTAGCATTTATATATGTTGATCGGAAACACTGCATTGGAAAGAAGCTACCTTATTATTATAATATGGTATATATATTATTTAAGATATATTGACGTTATGTAAATGAGTGAGAAAATGTAACAAACATGTACTTTACACTAATATGTAACTTTCTGTTTGTCGGTCATAAACATGTACGAAAATATTTCTCAGAGGTCTTAAAACATAAATTATTCGTTAATTTAACTGAAGTGAAGACAGTTTATTGCAGTATCTTTATTGAAGTTCTTGAATCTTGATAGATGCTGATTCAAGGCAAAATCGATAGCAGTATTGTTCTCGTAGAACCTTAGCCACCTACCGGAACTTGTGGTGTTTAGTAGAAAATGTATGTGCTTATATGCGATAGCTAATTACCCGGAAGTCGATATCAATGAAGTGAATTTACAGCATTAACTCTTAATATTAATAAAATTTACAAAATATATATTACTCTGATAATCTATAATATTTGAGACTACTGAATCCCAGATATCAATACGGTATTACTGGTTTATTAGGAAACGGATAAACTTTTGTACTTTATCGTCTGTACGTATTAAACAGATAACTTTATATTTCATATGGATAATATATGTATATTAACATAACTTCATTGATCGTAACAACTAACAAGGAAGGTCACCTTAGTGTACCCCCGGAACCTGAGTTGAAAAAATGATATTTTGTAGTTCACATGAAAGTATAAATCCTCACACAAAATGAGGTGTCCACTCGCATATTTAAGGAGTGAAATTAATTCCTGAAAATCGGTGGTTTTTTCGTTTTTCGCTAATATCTTCGAAACTAAAATGGATACGACAAAAGTTTAAATAGCAAAGTTATTCGTTTTTCAGTGCTCTACAATAATATGTAGTTAAAAATTATATAGAAATTGTTTATTTATTTTATTTTCATAAAAAACGTGTTATTTTATACATTTTCTTCTATTTTGACATAATAAACTTAATTGTTTCGACTCAAAATTCAATGATATCAATCTACATTCGTTTTCTCCGTCTCAAAAACTCATTAAACCGGAGAGTTATTTTTTCCAACCGCAAAACAGTGGCTAACCGAAATCTATTTTCCGAGTTTTGGCGACAACAGTGCACTCTTAATCGACTCCAGGAGTGGACACTGTTCAGAAGTAGTTAATATAGTAACTCCTCCTAACAAAAAAATTGTATTACAAATTATTCCAAAAGGAACAACAGGACAAATACAACCATTAGATGTGTTTGGCTTTCGAATATGGAAAAATTTTGTTAGGCATTTTTCAGATGTAGTAATTCTGTCCGGTAGCGATGTAAATCTGCATTTAAGAAATAACATCATCAAACTGCAGTCACTTGTTCACAATCAACTTTCTTCCCCACGTTATATTAATATGTTTAAATATGCATGGTACAAAAGTGGCTACACAGAAACAGCACCCCTTGAATTCATTAATCCGGTGACGTTTGGTTTTGGAGATAATTCGGAACCACGATGTCACATTTGTGGTGATTTAGCTGTTATAACATGTTCATGGTGCAAAAAACCTTTGTGCCTCAAACACTTCTTTGAGCAGTATCATTATTGTAATGAATATATTCCATAATATGAAAGTGAAGAAACTGATAAGTGCATGGCCTGCTTTTTCTTCCTGCTTTCATGAGTACTAGACATCTTAATAGCTCTAATACATGAATTAAAGGCTTCTAATAAATAAAATGAAGACATGTATATTAAATAAAGTTTTATATAGAATGGAAAATTGAAAATACATTGAATTTCGAGTCGAAACACTTAAGTTTATTATGACAAAATAGAGGAAAATGTGTAAAAAAACACGTTTTTTATAAAAATTAAATAAATAAACAATTTCTATATAATTTTCAACTACATATTATTGTAGAGCACTGAAAAACGAATAACTTTGCTATTTAAACTTTTGTCGTATCCATTTTAGTTTCGAAGATATTAGCGAAAAACGAAAAAACCACCGATTTTCAGGAATTAATTTCACTCCTTAAATATGCGAGTGGACACCTCATTTTGTGTGAGGATTTATACTTTCATGTGAACTACAAAATATCATTTTTTCAACCCAGGTTCCTGGGGTACACTAAGGTGACCTTCCTTGTAAGTAATAATTACCAAGCGATTGATTATTCTAATATACAGTATCACCAAAGATACATGAATGAATATTTTTGAGAACTGGCAATTCCAATTTTATGTAGAATCCCAGAAAATATTACATAAAAAGATTGTGTCACTTAGATGCTGGAAATAATATAACAAATATTATATCACAACAATATAATTGCTATATGAAATTAGCCCAAAAAAGATGCATCACAATGAATTTTGAATATAGTGTTACACTTATGACAGCATATTACCGATGTTATATTAGTAAATAATATTTTAATATATTAATAATAAAATATGTAGTATAAAAATAAAGATAAACGGATTATATTATTGTTATGTGAAATCTATATTACTTTGTGTGTAACCTTTTCATTTATATGTAAATTATTTCCAGCACAGTACAAAATGTAATGGTACATTCACAATACGTCTATACGTCCATGCACACGAGGGACATGCTTAGAATTTTTGTGACGTGTATGAAGCAATGCGTGTGTTATATCAGTCTTACTATAATACGTTATTATTATGTTATTATATATCATAACAGTGTTTGCTGGGATAGGTATTTCCTGTTGGATTTCATTTAATTTGTGGGGTTATTTGCGCGTATTATAACGTGTATAAAAATTCATTACAAATGAAAGGGCGACGATTTGAATACACGCGTCGAATTTCATTTTATATCTATAGGATGCGTATATTTTATATCACTTTTTTAAATTTCATATTATACGCAATGTGTTTTTCGTCTTTGAGCGGGAGTACTTCGTATTTCGGAATGGTACAAGAAATTTGTCACGGCAAAAGCGTAAGGTAATTGATAAATAATTCAAATGTTTATCTAGCGAGTCTTTCTCGTGGAAGAATCCGTCGTTAATGATATTAACAAATAAAATTGTCCTTCTATTCGACGTCACGTACAAGTTATTTTATTATAAATATATGAATATTTATTCAAAGATAAAGTAATTATTGAAATTTCTTAAGCATATAAAACAATTTATATACCCCAAAGTAAGCGGCACGAAATAAGTAACGAGTTCATTAATTTGTTTCAAGTCCTATATAAATTAACACTAATTTACAATTAATTGGAATATTAATAATTTTCTAGAGGTACACTTAATTTATGGGAGGGCTTTTAGCAGCTTGATCAGTATAAATAATTTACACGTTGTTATGGCATTAATTGGAAAGTCTGTGCAAATTCTGGCATTCTTGCAACGGTATGTACGAACTCTTGTGGGCCAATGCTACCAGTATGATCAAGGTCCATTTCCTCTAATACCTAAAAAAAATATTTTGAAAAAGATCTGTGTATCCATAGTAATATTATTAGTATTATTATTATATATATATATATGCCTTAATGACCGATCAACACAGGAAAGTGTCGAAAACGAATATAGAATCTTTTTTGTATTTATTTCAATGACACTTGACGATAACAATTTTATGGGGTAAAACACTCTTATGGTTAAACCCTTAGTAAATGGCACAAGAATAATAGTGGTAATGCTCGTATATAGTATGCATCGACTTTAGCCAGGTATGAGGGTGCAATCCTTTATAACGCAAAATGCGCTCGACATTGAGCAGGACTTAGATCGAGGAGGATATCGATGCCCTCCATTATGGTGCATAAGACAATAGCATTATTATCCCATAAGCCATAATAGAATCACGCTCGCACCACGTGAGAAAAGTTTCACGTTGTAGATTGAGTACATACACTTCTCTCTTTGTATATGGAAACGAGAGATTCTGCGTTCTTGTACATAATCATGTACATAGCCACATACATGCAGATAGACATATGTATACACGGATCGATACAAACCATTTGGGCTATGTGTTCTGCACTCTGCCGATCAATTCTGATCTGTCCATTCTCATTGAATCCTGTCAGCCTCTCTACAGCTTCGATCAAATCGTCGAGAGAGACTTGATTGTCGCCGTCAAAGTCTGGCAACAAATTCATTGATATATTTCAGTAACATTTACATCTAATTCAGAAAGCGTATATAAATAAATTTCAATTTCAATTGGGTGCGGAGAATACAAACTGTTGTACCATTATTTCAGAAATCATCGGATAAGTGACAGGAAGGTATTATTTGAAATGCGATCAGTCAGTAGTAAGAGTAGAGATAATTAAGCGGAGAATACTAAAATTACCAAAAATTTGAAATGCCCAGGCAGCGCGTACATATTCAGGACAATTGTCCGAAAGAGCTGAACACAAGTCCAGAACATCGTCGAAACTCATACAGCTGTCCTGTTCGGATGAGAATACTCGTAGCACGGATTCACGGAATGGATTGTGCTGAAAATTTCATGAAATCTCTATGAGATTGGCAATATTTCAAATTTGACTTCATCCGGCGTGGTTATACTTTAAAAGCAATTTTCATTGCTGGCTGTTTTGCAGAAGCATATATTTTATCAGTGATTGTCCTGCTACGGTTAAACCTCATACGTGTGAAATATGTAATTTGTCATCAGACTAACATACGATCGAATGGTTCATAGTTGAAAAATGTTCTGTGTTGTTGGATAACGATTAAAGTACGGTTCGATATATTTTCTATGTAAATATTAAAACGCAATTGTTTCGTTATTAATATTTTACGTTTAGAAAAAAGGAGTGAGTTTTTATGTACCGTGTATTTTAACAGCAATAAAAGAAGTTTCTATTCTATTGTCCGTATGGCTATTAAATCTTATCTAGATAAAAATAATAAGATATGGATGTATACATACATATATATAAATATAATCCTAACGCGAATAATTGATATCGAAGCAAATTATCAAGTTATACACTTTATACGCAATTCAGCAAATTTCTATAATTATAGAAGTTACAAGATTTTCTTTGCATATAATTGTCACCAATTTTTAATCAATTATGTACTTACTCGTATTTGTGGTAGAATTTTCAAAATATCATCGACAGGAAATCGATGATATATATCTTTGGACAATTCTTCGGTACCCAATGTTTTAAACAATTTAAAAATACTGAAAGAATAAATTCCATGCAATTAATTACATTGAAACAGTAGATTACCCAAAACATTTCTTGAATCAAATAAATCCAATTTTAATATTCGCAATTACTTACTGATGAATTTCAGCTTTGGTTAAATACGTAAGTTGCGTATATTCTTCTAGCATCTCCTGCGTGATGCCGACTCTGACTGATTTCGAGTTTCCCATAATCGATAGTCACTACTCTTTATCAGTGTTAGCGTTTAAAAGTCAATATCGTATTGGTAAATATTTAAACTTCCCGATAAAGATATGTAACCCGTTTTAATTATTCTATCTAAAGTAAATGGTAAAGAATATGATAATTTCAACGGTCTAGCGTAATTAATGTTACCGAATGAATATCCATTCGAATACTGACTTAAAAGTATAGTCTGGTGCTATCAAACGGATTGCCGTGATTCATAATCTTATCAAACCAACATAAACGTAGTACGTATTATAAAAAGCACTGACCTGTTTCCTGTTTCATGTCTATGTATCGGAGAGAGACATAACTATGGTTGGAGGTAAATTTGAAAAATACGTTATATAGATACAACGCGTGGGAAATGTTTTATCGTAATTCTCTTTTATATTGTGTTCTGGCAACACACTCATTAAAATCGATATGCAAAAACTGCGCCAATTACATGACGGGATGTCTGGATTGGATCAAAGTATTGGCGATGCATTACTATTATACCATATATAAAAACAGTGAAAAAATGCACGTCACCAAATAGATGCATGATTGGTTCTGATTTGTACAATATAAACAAATTAATTTGTTTTACAAATATATGAATATAACTCATCGTAATTATTATATTTCAAAATTTTAAACATCTATCTAATTCATACTCGTAAAAAATATATTTGTGAGATGGATCAATATATTTCTCAGTATACATATTATTATTATATTAAATGTTATTAAATCAATTGTTATTTAACAATTGTTTATATCGAGTAATTTTCTTCAGTAAATATAGCCTGTTCACGTTTCTTCATATAGAGATAGTAAACATTTGGTGTTGCGAGATAATAAAGTAATTATTTATATTCTATTGTAGCTTGCAAAGATAAAGTCGCTATTACGAAACGATATGTATATGAAGAAACAGTTGATCGATCAATTTGGTTATGAAAGATTGACTATGATAAAAAAAAGTGATCAAATTACTTGACTTTTTTCCACTTGCTCAATTCATCGGTTCAAATTGCGCCACGAGTCATATTTATCATAGTGAAATATGGCTATTAATATTATTTCAATTGGAAAGTATATGCATGCATATATGTATATATTTAAGCATGTAATTTGATTATAGAGGTGTAAAACCGTGTTTCAATGATGCAATGTAATCGCTGAAAGTTAACATCGACGTTGGTCGAATATATATCTATATATTTATGTACATGCATTGGAAAATTCAGTGTAACACTGTGATAATCTTCCGATAGTTTAATTGCATTATTCAAGTATATAAACCTTGATTGCTAATCAATCAATGACAATCAATATAGATTCAAATATATTCCACACATCGGTATATGGAAAATAGTAATGAAATTGAAATTTTGATAAACGTACAAACTTTTGACATTGTCATATGATGACGTTTGAATTTCACAATTCGTGCATGTTTAAAGATTATTATTGAAATCGAAGAGTTCTCCTACACACGTTTCCACAATGTGGATGCAGCACGGCGTACGATTGAACCGTAATAGAAGAAAGTCCCTCACTCATCATCATTTCTTCTTTTTACGCACAGTACGTACGTTGGCTTTCACATATCCCAAGTATATAATCTCCACATACACCCGATAATGAACATCCTCGACCCTTCGATATTTAGCGCATGAACGGCGTGGTCGTTCGGATCGGGCTTAAAGCTAGCCAATAATTATTACATGACTACGGAGCGGTTATTGTCCCAATTCGGGACGGTTGGGGATAATGGCTCGACTAGAGAGGTCATGTGAAGCTGACGTTCCAACATGTCAACAGCAACTATGCATCATGAGATGTCTAGCGCACGTAACGCATCCCGTGGATATGGGCACGGAGTGGTTCATTACAATAAGTAGTCAACGTTCAAATGAACCGTGTTTACCATGAAATATCCCCCCCCCCCCATAGTTTCCCTCGTACAGGAAAATGCTTCTGATACGATCCTAAGCCATTAATTGGAGAATACCGATTTGCCTACATCTGTGGCAGAGCTTTTATTGAAATTCAAACATGCCGACGACCGAGAACAAGCGAACTCTGATTCCAGATGATTTTACCGACTAATGGGAATTCAAAGTTCATATGGCAAAGTATAACAGCCAGGAACGATGGGAGTCATAAATTCATGACGGAAGGATGAAATTTAAGTGTCTCGTATGTCTTTGAATAAATGTAAAAAATGCTTACCTAGGCTGATAAATTCGAATTAAAGAGAGTACTGAGAGAGGTACATCATACCTTCCATCAGCATTCATCACACGTAACCATGAGAAAGGGCTGAAAAGGTCTTACGTGGAAGTTGATGCTCACTGCACTGCCTGAGCTGGCTGTACGTCTATCCTTAGAATTGGAGTGGATGGCAGTAGTACAATAGTTCGCATTGCATTGGACCTCAGGAAGTGATAGCGATCTAGTCAAGTGATAGCTTGGTGTTGTATTGCATACTGTGAAATCTCCTGTATTATACGTCGCTGACAAACGCGTTAAGATGTGCACACGATTGGCTTGTATTTACTGTTGAATTCGGATTAAGTCTTGTATTCGTTGAATATCATGAATGTCTATATTAGGGAAACAAATTGATTACAGCTATTCAAGTAATTCCTGCTTAAGTGGCTAACCATCGCATGCATACTGACGGCTATTATTTATTAGGAGAAATTGATAGATCTTGGGATTAGGATTAACATGCCTTTTTGTGAAACGTTTTCTATGAATAAATGAAGCTAACGAGATTTTCGTTACTATAGTGATTGGATTTCCGTATTTCTCTATATTCCAATAGAGTTGTGAACGCAGGTTAAAATCCTTGCTAAAGCTGTCTAGAAAATTTATCGATCTACTTTCCCTATTTCTTAATTATTCAAACTGAATCGTGTGCATAAATACTTTTAAAAAATTTAGATATATTAAATATCTTGGAACATTGTTTATAATCAATGCAGAATGTCGAATAGACATTGAACAGGATACCAAAAAATATTAGAGCTTTTTTATTCGTCGGTGCTTTATTTGGATTTGTAAGAAAATCACTTGTTCTTTGAATCGATATTAATAAACGTGGCATTGGCGTCGGTCGTAAATCAAAACAAGGATTGTCAATGGCAGGGGAATTTAATTTTATTTAATTGTGTAAAATTGTATGTTGTCGATAGTTTCGAAGTCCAAATCCAATAAGCTTAATTAAGAGCTTTAATGAATTCTCCTGTTCTAGTCGCTCCACTTCCTCGTAACTACCAATGCTTATTAATTATTTTCCACCAGGGATTTCTCGACGGAGCACTGGCACGAATAGTTTGCATTATTCACAATTTCCCAAGTTTTACCGAAGCCACGTGAAAATTCCAGGAAGTTACCATAAACACGAGTATGGTAATAGGCTTTGAAAAATTTTAATCATCAACATATTAACATATGATATATTCATCATTCATAAGATTTCATTTTTATTCAAGTTACGTTAGACTCAACCTCTAACGTTGAGACTTAAGTAAATCAATTTGAACAAATTTAATAGAATATTGTACATCAAATATCATTTCAGTCGTCTGAATAATATACTTTATACAAAGTCACAAAATTGTCTTTCTAAGAATATGCTTGGCGCTGTTTGGCGTATCCATTTTAATCTAGAATTAATTACGTAATGGCGTCCTATGCCAGTTATTCGATAATGTTATATAGTGTAAAGCTTGAGCGTGGGTGAATATTTCGGGTAGCACGAAACCACCGTGGATACTCGAAATTGTTTTGTCGATGTTCAACTACCCTGGGAATGATCTAGTCTATCGATTAACCGAGCGAAAAATGACTGCGTAACGTCAGATAAAAGCAAATTACATATATTTATTAACCCGCCCACTGTCGCACTACATTCATTAGATGCGTGGCATTAGTACATTTATTTCCATGTAAAATAATTTTATTATAAATAAATATATTCTACGAATAATAATACCTATAATAATAATACCTATTCTTAACATCCATAATAAACAACTATAGCTATAAGAAGTTATGAAAATATTTGTTGAGGTCAAAACCCTTTCATATATCCCTGTCCATTACTCTCGTAGCAAACTACTAAATAGCATTAACATGATACGATTATACACATATAGTATACTAGGTACCTTTCCATGAAAATCTTAGGAGTTATTGTGATTTTCAACGTTCATGGATCATGATTCATGAATACTAAATTTAGACATATCACAAAATAAGAACTCCAATGATATTAACCAACATGATTATTATGTAAAACGATCAAACTTTATTTGTGGTATTAATAATTATTTCTCTGGAAATTAGTATGTTGCCTTACAAACGTATAATGCAAATCTGTCACCTTGAAGGTTTCTGAATAACATAGTATTGATTAAAGGTATAGTGAATTGTAAAATTATAACGTGGAAATTTTAAGTGTAGTAAATGACTAACCAGAAACCGATCCTTCTCGCCAAACGCGATCGTACCGATATAATTGGCATTCGTCAATTAGATTTGTCATCAACGTTCAGGAAAATTGAATTAGCAGTGAGTCCAGAGCGAATACGGAACAGCAGTATACGGACGTGACCGATCCCGTTGAATTTAAATTTCTCCGATAGGAGAGACCGTTTCACTCATCCAATTCCGTTGAACCGTATAGCCGGTCACATCGGCCCGGTATATTCTAGCAGAAAGTATCGCCAGTAGAAACGTGCTAAAGATAGCCGGACAGATACCGAAGCTCTGGCTTCCCATACCATTCCTTAGTTCGAAAGTAATATTCATATGATAATACTTCACTACATAGACATCGTGGAATTATTCAATCCATTTACAATTTCGCTAATAATTTTTTCAATTCTCTTCTTAATATCTTTCCAGTTGCATTCTTTGGGATATCTTCTAAAAAGTGTACACCTCCTCTCAGCCATTTTTGAGGTGACAATTTACCTGGAAATATTTCGCAATATCAATTTTATATACAATATAAAAATGATGTGCCACGTGAAAAAAGAATAAGCATTTACTCACTATCGACAAACTGACGGATTTCCTGTGCCGAAACGTCGTAGCCAACCTGCTTAACCACAAAAGCTAAAGGAACCTCTCCACAAAGTTCATCGGGCTTCCCTATAACAGCAGCATCCTTAACACCAGGATGAGATAATAATATGTCTTCCAACTCGGCAGGAGCTATTTGAAATCCTTTGTACTTGATCAACTCCTTCAATCTATCTACTATAAAGATATAACCATCCTGATCATAGTACGCTACGTCACCAGTATGTAACCAGCCATCTGCATCGATTGTTTCTGCAGTAGCTTTTGGATTTCCACGATAACCAAGCATAACTTGATCACCTTTACAGCATAATTCACCATGCTGATAACGACCAAGAACTGCGCCAGTCTCGATATCGACTATTTTAGCCTGCATACCTGGCGCAATAGTACCGACTGCCATACTATTCTTATTCTCTTTAGAGTTGACACACACTGCTATCGATAATTCAGTCATACCGTAAGCGTTTCTTATGCATTTTACGCCTGTATTATTGGTAACGGCCTCTAGAACCTTTTTAAGAAATTCATCTATTAAAAATAATATTCCTGGGAATGATTGTCAATATTTTCTTGCTACGAAACTAACGTCTATTAAGAAGTAGAATCTTCCATTAAGAAAAATTCGACTGCTCAGTATGGTCGGTTCACGAGGTCCACGTGTTTTTGACAGTTCGCAAGCAATGCAACTCTTAGCACACGACACGTGGTTTTACATCAACTAACCAAAGTACATGTTAAAATAGAAAAGTAGTATATATTTAGTGCAAAACCATGCATATGCATACTTTGTAACAAATATTTTAAATAATGAAACGTGTGCCTTGATTGGAGAACTCACTGTTTTCGATCTGTCAAAAAAACGATGTCGAACTCGTGGTCCGTTTTAGATATGCTTGATACAGAACAAAGTATATTTGCAGAAAGACTATCAGTACATACATGCTACTGTAGAATGCTTGTTAAAACTTACATCTTGCGAAAGCGAAGCCGCACCACAAATGATTTCTTTCACATTACTAAAATCGTAGCTCCTGACAATTGGATGTTTAGCAAGAAATACCATGACAGATGGTACCACGGGTAAGTGAGTGATTCGATATTTTTGTATAGAATTCAAGAAAGTTTCAGGTTGAAAGGAATTCATTACTACGAATTTTACACCCGCTAACAGTACCGTTAATAACATTCCTTGTCCGTAACCATGGTAAAAGGGTAACAATAACAACATTGTATCATTTCCTTGTAGTCTTAAAACTTTGTTTCTGCAATAAAAGACAATAAAGTTATCGTAAAGCGTAAATTGCGACAACAGACCATTATTCTTTATTGATAAATACGATTAAAATCCTTACTGTAAAAAATAAATTGTCGTTAACATATTTTTATGTGACAGCATAACTCCTTTAGATAAACCAGTTGTGCCACTTGAATATAATATGAAAGCTTCTTGTTTATTCGGGTTAGGGACACTTTCGGCCCTGTATGCTAAGGCATCTGGAATATATCCAGGTCTCTCTAGGATACTCTTCAAAGTGGAAATATTCGTTGACATCGCTTCATCGTCCAACTGAATGAGTTCCACGGTCCAGGATAAAGTTTGAACCACTTGACTGATCAATTTCTCCGTTCGCCGCGACACGAAAATAATGCTAGGCTTGGAAATCTCGAAGGTGTTACGAACTTCCCCTGGGAAGGTGGCAGAAAAAAGTAGGTCGGTACTCGACGTTTGCAAAAAAATGAAATAACTTTTGATTTTCCGGAAGAATTACCTTCGGCATAGGCTGGATTGAATGGAGCTAGTACCGCGCCAAGGTAAAATGTCGCGCACATGGGGATGAGCCAGTTGGGGTGGTTTTCACTGGATATACTGACTCTGTCAGCTGCTTTTATTCCACGAAATCGTAGAGCTTCTGCGAGTTTTATACTTTTTACCAAGATGTCTTCACTTTTGAGAAATTCTCCACTTGCGGCATCCACCTGTTACAAGAAAGTTACGAAACTCTTGGGTACAGTGTGTAATTATTTTATTTTCTCTTGTAAAAAGTATGGGAATAATAACATTTTTTTTTCTTTATATATGAACTATAATTGATAGCTGATAAAAAACGGAAAATGATATTATTAGTCATAGAAATTTGTACTAACACATATTTTAAATTTATTTCAGTTTAATCGATCTTCAGGCTGTTCTATAATTATATAGTTTATTTATATATTACATACTTGAAGAATCCGGTTCTGATTTTGTTGTAATCGCTCCAGAATCCATTGTCCAATACAGATTTTGGGCACTGGCAACGCTGGTGAACCATATAGAATCTTGTCTTGCTTCTCCATTTTTCTTTCTATTTTCCACTCGACGGTTATTTCTGAAATATAAGAATGTGTAAAAACTTCAATTGGTTATAGGATTCGTTCAAAAGTTATCTATGCGACAATGCCTAGAAACTTTTAATCCTAAAAATAATACCATGTTTTTATCAGATTTGTTTGTATATCAATATCTTAATGAATGTTCTTCTACTTATAACTGTCCTTGCATTTTATTGAACGTAAGGCTGTGCGATCATGATAATCATAATAATAATAGGTACTCATAGGTTAAATAATCAATAAAAAAATGTGGAAACTTAAAATACAAACATTAATTAGTCAATGTATTAGAAAACTTTAAATTTCGATTCACAAATCACGAACATTCACTGTACATTAAGTTTATTCATTTTCATATTTATTTATATGACATAGAAGAAAATAATCTTCATGACAAGGGATTCGCAAGAATCTAAGTACATTGATGGGTGTATTTATATCTTATAACGCAAAATTAAATTTGCAGTGTTTGGATACGATGAGAACCGCAATTAATGATGCAGACTAAAAGCTCTAACTCTACAACAATTTATTACTTAAAAGAAGAATGCTTCATTTGTTTTCACATTAGTTAGTACACAGCAAAAATGCAGTTGCTTGAAAAATATTTTTGATGCAAACAAATACAGTGGTCATGTCCGTTCAAATCCATCTTTTGTATAAAGAAGTAATTCTCATTGTTGAATATCACATTCAAAATTTTTACCATAATATGAAAAATATTAAATCAACAAAAATTTGTTAGTGTTAGCACATTCTGGAACTAACACAAATTATGTACGCATTTGAATTAATAAATTTCAAAGAATAAATATAGAATTTATTAAAAATTCAAACATTAATCACCTAAATAATACTTACCACTAAATTGTATATGTAAATGATACAATTTTCTCTTTCGAGAATATAATATTGTTTTTAGAGAATTGAATTTACACTTATTCAAAAAGACAGTATTCGAAAAGATTACGACCCTGATTCGATCAAAATCCGTGGTATATGAGATAAAATCTCGCCCTTATTTGTATACTCTGTTCCCACGAATTACTATATTTCTACGCAGAACAAGCCTGCCAAAATACGTCAAGACTGGAGGCTGAAAGTGTCTGAAAAGTTTATGGTAACTTCAATGTTACCTTAAGTTAATTTTAAAATTATTACTATGATTTATGTATTCGGATGATTATCTTAGCTGTAGATTGATTGTTTCGTTGCAAAATTTCATAATTACTTACCGTATAGTTTACGTGATATACGGAATGAAAGTAGCCAAAAATACACATTGTGAATGTACATTGTGATGTACATGTGGATGTACTTCGTTTTTTAAAATAGAAATATTTTGTTGATAATATTTGAGCTTTTAGGCGGTAAAAGTGAATGAAATTTCTAGGAGATACTTCTTTCACATCAAACATTACTACGATGATTTTTTTATTGAAAATATTGGAATTTGTAAATCATTTTTTACTGCATTGCTTAAACAATATGTGATATAAACATTTTTTCCATAATGGATCTCCGTCCTTCTGCTTGCCTCGAAGATAATACCTTAGGCAGAACATATTTTTTTATTAAACGATATACGTGGAATTCACAGCAATTGGATTACTTTTATTATGATGCTAGGCGAACCACATTAAGAAAAATATGTTGTTACTGTAGTCCATTCTGTGATATTTAACCAATGTTAAAGAGTAACCCAACTGATCGAAATTTATTGTTCGCATTAACAAATCAAATGAGTAAATACATAATTGAACCTTGTTTATATTAAATTCTATTCTTCAGTGAAATAAGTTATTTGTTATACTTAAACGGTTACTCTACTGTGAATGCACTAAAAATAGGGTCAATTTTAAAAATTAATTACTCGACAACTATAACTGAAAATCAATTTATATTTGGCTACATGTCAATAAATTGGCTACATAATCAATAAATTTTGAACATTTCAAAAAAATATTTATTTATAAAAAGGGTATGTAGTGTTGCATGGAAGGTTGCTGCAATTGAACAACAAATTCGTGTACATTGTTTCGTCCATGTGGTTTGTCAGAAACAAAGGAGCAAAATATATTTATAATTTGTATTGTATTGTCTACAATGTGACGGACACATTTACAAATTTTTTTTTATTGGCGAGAACTAATTCTTGAATTTTTTTTCGATTTCTGACCTCAAAATTTGCATTAAAAAATTAATATTTTAATACTCAAAATATTTATTTGAAAAAATGACTCGTCACATGATAGCTACTTCTTTTAATGAACATGTTCTCCAAATTTGAAGCTGATTCATTAATTAGGTCTCGAGATATCGTGTACATCGTTTTGTTGTTCATTCGCAGCAGCCTTCCATGCGACATTACATAACTTTCTTTTTTAAGAAATATTTTTTCAAATTTTCAAAATTTATTAATTAATATGTATATTGACATGTAGCCAAATATAAATTGATTTCCATGTATAACTTTCCTAGTAATTATTTTGAAAAAATTAGCCCTTTTTTTGTGCATTCACAGTAGGATAACCTCTTAATGATATTGAATTTAAATAGAACATGTAGCCGACAAATGGTATATGAATTTTAGTCATCAAAGTTAATTCTGTTCCTTTCCATATATTAATATTGTTAAGGACGTTTTACCTCTTTTACCATTTTTTTATAGCGTTTCCAATTTATATTATTATTGTACATCTGAAGAATATGTATACAAAATGCTAATACTAGTTACCAAATAAATAAATTATCGACGCATTTTAGAAAGTTCATATTTAGTGCATGCTCCTTGGTCGTCAAGCTATACAAGAAAGGAAGCACATATACTATACATTTTTTATTTCGAAACTCCTAATAGGTTTCCAAAAAAAATAGGACAATGAGGGCAGCACTTAGAAGCTTTCTAAAAAGCACAAGAATAATATACTTATTCGAGCAATTGAAAAATATATTTATTGTTGAAATGCTAGGAAACTCGGTTTTTCTAGTGTTCGTAAGTTCGTGAAAGTTGACGCAGTTGCTACGTGCGAAACAACAAAAAAATTCTCAAAACAAATCTACTATATTTTGGTATATCAACTATATTTTCTTCCCCGCAGTAAACATACAGATTGAAACAAGAAAATCAAAGCACTTGTTTTATCGAACAATATCTTCTTCTCAGTGTACAGAAATAAATACATCGAATCCTAAATTTGTTCATATTTACATGCATACGTATTATGTCTACAAAGTTATTCAAGCCAAACGCACCAACTGAAAATAGTCTATAAGATTTTATTTCTACGGTAAAACAACCTTCAAGTGATGCGTTTATACTGAATAAGCTCCTATATTTGTAGTAAAAATTGCCTTTCTATATCTTAAGAACCGTATGGTAAATTTCATTAAAATGTTGTGTAGCTCAATTAAGCTATCGCTAAAATACAAAATTGCGAGTGACCAAACCATCTTAACCAGAATAAGTATAATTTAAATCACGAAATTTGACATTCATATTTGTTTACAAAATAATCTAATTCGAAAGGCTTTACTGTTAGAATATTCAGTACCACTCAAAACGATGTTGTTTCAGGAATTGTTATAACGCTCGTCTTTTAGTCTACTTTTATTTAAAAGCGATCCAACAATCAATCGACAGTCATCTTTTGATATTGCAGAAGGTACATCTGCGTCTTTACTTCGAGCGTGTCTAAAATTAAAAGAATTGATAGCAACTGATTAATCAAAATGAAGATAACGAAAGTATGATTACACTTATCACAAGGTAGAGTATATATGAACCGCAGAGCTATATCACGTTGCTCTAATACGGGAAGCTATTTGCGTGATAATTTACAACCCAACATTATTTTCCACGCGGTACCATAAATATTGGTTTTCCAAAAGCACTGAATGTTTATCACGCTCGAGTCTTATTCGGATGCCATAAAATTTCGCAGGCCGTTTTCGCAATATTAAAATATCACAAAGTTTGCCGTCGAAGAACGAAGCCACATAACGAACTATGTGGATGTGATAGGATGAGAAAAGGAAGATATGACAAATTGTTTATATCAGTCAAGTTACTCGTATGAGTAGAAAAACCCAAACATCACCGATGGATCCATTCTGACAAAATAAAAAAAGATGTCACAAAAAAAAAAATTCGAAATGTGGTACCTATACAAAATTTATTTACGCCATTATTATTTTTGGATTTAATCGAAATCTACAAACAAAATATCACTGTTCATTTACTCTCCAATTGACAAATTTGGTTTGCACTTTGCTAAGATTGAATCTATAAACAGCCAGTTGAAATTGACCGTCTTGCTTGGTTCTATCTTCGTGTTGTCGTCATTCCTCTCCACGGATGTTTGCGGCTCCCCGTAACCCGATACAATTTATGCGTCTGCGTATGGAAGTGGGGTGTGCAAGGGCACTAGGATGAGCCGAGAATGCGTTCCGAGGAGTCATTGAAGTGTTGGAGATCCGTTCAATCGAGGGGTCGGTAGTTCTCTGGGGGCAGTCAGTGAACGTGGGCAAATGTGGCCCGGAATAGCGCGTGCCGTTCTGATTGTAGCGCCCATACTGGGACACGTGAGCGGCATACCTACGATATAGACTGTCTCAAGCAGCGCGTCTGGACACACTCCGGGAATACTTATGGATAGCAGCAACATCCATCTAACCTCTGTAACCTCATTCCGATAGAATTGAACGTGAAGGACTTTTATGGAAACCAATAGGAATTCAGACATAAGACGAGGGCCAGTTTTGTTTCGAGCTTTGCGAGCCAACACGATCGTTTTGAATTTGATCCAACATACATATTTCTTGAAGATGTAAGAAACTTCTACTGAAAATTCATCTCATGGAAAGGAATATACAAATCTGCAAAATACGTAATCTGGAATATACGAAATGCAAGCAAAAAATATGTCAAAGATTACAGGCGTACACCTACTGAACCACGAAAAACAACGAGATACGAGAATAATAATAAAGAAACGGTGCAGTCTTTGAAAATCCCATTGAAATCTCAAAATAATAAAGCGATCCGCGAGTAAGTAGAATTTCGTGAATTAGTGGATGAGCGAATTAGTCTATAGCGAAGGATTTTGATAACGTATGACTTTATCTGGCATTCTCGCTAGCAGGTAGTCTGCTTACTCAAGATAATAGCGACGTGGCTGCGCCTCGCGAAAGGGGTAAGTAAGGATATTTCACTGAGCAATGTCAGTCGTCGGAGATTGTACAGTAGTATGAGGCTCGAAGTAGGGTTGCTGAGTAGATGGTGGTGGAAGTCGGAAGCAAGGAGAGGGAAAAGGTCGGCCCTGGCTGTAGAGCGAAGGGTGAGAGAGATTCTCTCTCGGCGAGCTACAAGAACTTCATTTTCCGAGCCATTACGCCCCGTCCCACTGCACCTCCTAGAAACCCCTTTACCCCTTAAATTAATTTATATCGAAATTTTAAATGACACTCATCGGGCCATGCAATAAATAACCGGGGGCAGCGCTTTTTCTCTAACACGCGCCTCACTATTTACACCACGCTAGACTACGAGGAGTGACAATGCCCATAAGAGATAGGTATAGGGTTGGTACCAGCTACCTTTACTTGAAAGACATTTCGCCCCTCCACCTTCTGAGAGCCATGGTAACCAAGAGAAGTGAGGTACTTGAGAAGCAGCTAACGCGAAGTCACTCTTCCATCCTTGAAGAATTGTATCAGAGAGGAGCGTTCTTGATATATTCTACTCGCGTGGCTGACACCTTTATGGTAAGCCAAGAAAAAAAGTCGGAAATAGTCGAACCAAGTGTGGGTTAGCTTTTGCCTCGAGAATCTTAACATCAGAAATCTTGAAGAGGGTATATTACATTTTGTATTTTAAGCAGATACTTTACCCTCTCGAGTTTAATACACTGAGGGTATTTTGAAAATAAATATCCATTATGTCAGTGGGGAAGAGTACTTGAGTATTACTTATAGGTACAGAATACCGTATCGATTGATAACAATGGGAAGTATGTCAATTGACTCGCATTTTAAAATTACAATATTTAGGATGTGATGTGATGACTTTCCAATAGTTTCAGCGGACACACTGGCTGTGTAAGTGAAACGAGTTGTATGGGAGGTACCACAAAGGAGAAGCTGATATGGCAATCATATCGATATGGGCATTATAATGGCCTGTTATAATAATCGCCTTTTCTTTTCTCAAATTGATCTTTATTTCGTACTTATTGGTAACAGAAGCCCATTCCACGTGAATGAATCACAAAACGTTCACTTGCGTATTTCTGGCTTACAAAGGTATCATTATTTCCCATAAAGTCGAACAATTGTTAAACCGCCATTAGCCACTTGATACTGTTTCAAAGTGAAATACTTTAGGATTTTTAATATTGCCGAATCAGCTATTATGATACAACTTACTTATTATTCGTATTATTTATAAAAAGAATATCTCGTTTTATTTCATAGAATATTTTGATGATTGCTTTTCAAGATGGCGTACACTCGTTGGTTTGCCGCGTTAAGTCTTAATCTCTTTAAAGATTCGTCTTTTACCTAGTTAATAATTTGCACGCTCGTAGGAATCAAACTCTACATATAATCACTCTCGCTTTTCAAGCCTTTCTACCTCCCTTATCTCTTTTAATATATTGGACGTACGACGCCCGGCTGCCCTTATCCAACTCTTGTCTTTATTATCAGTAAAGATTATTGCATGGAGACCAATTCCAATTTCTATTACCACCATAATTTTTAAAGTGGAACAAAATCCTTTATTGGACATCGATTTTATACACGAATTTGATGTCTGTCTACCTACGTCAATTTCTACTTGCAAGCCGTCCTCTCAACATGGCTATATTTCAGCCAGTTTTTCGAATGTAAATTTGGAATTTACAGATGTTATTCTTAAAACTATAAACTAGCAGAAAAAAATTGAGTTCGTTTAACCCGCAAGTAGAATACACTCTTAACCTTTAGACAACCGGTAAATTTGTATGAAAAAAGTGATCTTTTTTCACTGGAAATTCATGCATGTAAATAACCTGTATGTGCCGGAAAGTCGTAAGTTTCTGTTAGCACTACTATAGCGGAGTTACCGATACTCTAAAAGTTAACTAGAGACTTTGAAATCGACTCTTCTATATTTTATAAAGATATATCAATTATCAAGTGTTTGATTAGCTTTTTTTTATATACATTTGAAGCTGAAATTGATTCAAGACATATTTTATTCTTTATTAAATATACCTGTTGCAGGATTGAATAACGAGAGTCAATAAATACGCATGTGCACTGTAAATAACCTAGGACTGATCATTTGGGCCTTAGCTAAGATAATCCGGTGATCTAACAAGACGTGTAAAAACATTCCGAAGGTAATTATTGTCATCAAATTGTTATACATAAAGTAAGCGAAGATAATTTCTTTAGAATATTCAAGTGCTCATGTTAAGGCGTAACGAAACATGATCTACATGTTCAATAAACAAGCGGCTGTTTTCGTGACAAATTTTATTTCAGTAAAAAATGTTCCCACTTCAGTAAATTATATAACATATTTATTTAAAAAATTTTTACCTAAATATTTGGAGTATTTATATGATTTTATATCCCTGATGTACCGTATATTCCGTCCCGCGTACGACACTTGAAGATGCCGCGTTCAAGGGCAAGTTCTCCCCCTCGTTTTGGCGCCAAAATCTAGCGACATCGTCGGGCGATTAAATATTTTGACAGTTTCAATACGTGTCACAAAAGTAGACCAGAACTCAAAAATCCAGAATTAGGGTTAGGTTATGGAAAAAGAATCACATCTACCGATCGACTTATTATTTTGTATGGTAAGTAGTAAGTTTCTTAAGATTAACTTAATAAGTTTCATTTAAGGGCTCACATACCTCTGACATTTTCAAAAAATCGAATTTTTTTTACGGATTTTTATTGGTTAGATATACTTTTAAGAATTTTTGTTAAAAATTTAAAAAAAATTTCACTCCGTTACAAAGTTACAGCAATAAATGTGACCGGACGTCAGATTGGGACGGTTAACGGTTACCTGCCGCACCCCTCTCGAAAGAAGATGCTAACCGATTGAAATACGCCAGGATACAATCAATTCAATCCAAAAAAGTTAGAATTGACAAGAGATTGCAGGAAACCATAAAAACACGAAGATACAGGAGGAAGAAGGTGTACAGTACGAAGCTGGAATGGGAGACTGCCATAAGCTCACGTTGTACCTAACAGAAACTTTAAACGCGTTTTTTTCGAAATTACGTTTTTAGACAGTGTCGACACGATAACTCAGTCAATTTTCAATATTTTTGTTTAATCTGGGTAATTATTTTCTCTATGGGAGTTTTTTAAATTCCTGGTTGGACAATTTTTTATAAATTATTAAACACTAACCTTTTTTCTATATTGCAATCTGAAATTTCAAATACTGCAATTTCTTTATTTCTGAAAAAAAATTCCCTCCGTCAGACTATAACTAGTACATTATTTTACAAGATTCTTTTTTATTTTTGCAGATAACTCATCATTGCTCGTCGTTCTCTCTCTTCAGATAATCAAATTTAATTCCATTTTATTGTAGCTTGTACGGAGTTCCAAACAATTTCTCAATATAATTTCATGTCACGGAGGACAAGGGATTCAACACTAGTGAATTCTACGAGTTAGAGCGAGCATCCCTGAATTATGAAGAAAGACCAAAGATACCCTTTGACTCAGGAAGCAGATAATAGAGTACATTTTCAGATTAGACTAACAGAATAAAGCTTGTTATTCATCTCCAAATTCCTAAACATATAATTGAATTTGTCTTCCAGACTATAAGAGCCATCTCAAATATACCAGGTAAAACAAAAAGTCCTTTCCCACTTGATAATCCATCCTGTCTGTGCGTCTGTATTTAGTTCTGTAGATGCGTACGACTTTACCGACTCGTTTCCTTCTTATTTTTTTGAAAATTCAAGTAGCGATGATCCGCGAGATAATACGAGTTTCCCCTGATGTTGTCACGTAGAAAGACGAAGGATTTACCCCATCTCCAAAAGCCATCCCAGAGTGCTAATTTATTATGGATCAAACGTTGTGTCGGAATACACAGACTTCTTTTTTTTTTCAAGTTTTTACGAAATTTAACTCGAAAAAATTTAGTGAGATACTACGAGGATCTCCGAGTTACGAAGAAATAGCAGAAACGCTGTTCAATCGTAAAAATCTCGACGAAACGTCAATTTTTACATTTCTTGACATCTAGGACTCTACTAACTTGATTCCTCTTTCAATTTTTGCATAGTCAAAATGAGCAATGATCTACACGACATAGTAAAAACATGTTCCGTGTCCTTCCAATAGCAGAACATAAGTTATTTATCAATTGTAAGAAAATCTGATCCAATTAAGTTTAGTTATTAGAAAATCTGATCCAATTAAGTAAGTAATGTATGTAATATGATTGTACAATAAGTTATATTCTGTATTTTCTAACTCAAATCGTCTGTTGCGTAAATTAGGTTTCAATTGTTTATTTTTTTCTTTAAAAATTGTTTAGTATAAAATCCTGAAATACGTACGTCATATATACTTTTATATTAGACATTGGCACGCATTCAGCAAACGGTAAAATTACCTTAATGTCTTCATGTTTTCTCAAACATTATTGGAGGACAAAATATACAACTTTTCTCTTAAGCGAAGGACAATACTCTCATTTCTCGTAAGAATGAAGTAAAAGTACCACCTATCAAAGTGAAAGTACCCCTTTGAAACAAAACACGATAAATCTCACTTTATGAGTTACTACGAAACGCCATCAAATGGTGGCTCAAATAACTTGCAAATGAAATTTGAAAAAATGAATATTCATTTGGGGTCTACGTGCCCACTGGCTCGTGTAATGGATATCCACTTTTAGTCTGGCCTATAGCATTCAAGGCTCGTCCACTTCGACAATTTCGAATTCTTTAGCCACTGTAATCAGCCCTATATCGGCACTTATATGATCCATATCGAGCAGACATAAAACGTAAAAGAGATTATTTAATGGAAATGAATATATTTACTCGAGTGATATTTAACTCGTAAAATTCATGAGCTCGTTTTACGAGCCAATCGATTGTCATTTCACAAGGAACGCAGTATGTCATAGTCGACGCAATGTCTGCAATTCAGTACGTCGATTATTATCAGAAAATGCTGTCGTCGTGTGCGCTAAAGCTCTAAAGCAATGTCAAGAGCGCGACTGACAGATATATGCCAGAGGATTCTCGCTATAGTAACGCCCAAGAGAAAAGGGCCAAGTATCGTTGTCAAAGTACGTGGCGAAATTGTTTTGCACCGTAAAGTAGAGATACCACAGCTTACCACACGCCAAATACGTGCAGTAAGTTGGTATACATGTGTAGTACTGCTCACGTACCGGATGTTCTAAAAATGGAGGAACCAACTTTAATAACAATATAAAACAACCCACGGAACAAAAATATATTCTACTACTATATCTCGACATTGGATATTGAACACAAATATGTAAATATTTATTCCAAAGATGCTGTATACGTAACATTGTGGATTATTCCTATTAAACGTAACAGTTCTCCAATACAAGTTTTATTTTTAAATTACTGATTCCTTTAGATTTAATGGTAAAATGAAGATGCAGTTCTGTTTACAGGCCTGATTTTTCTGTTGTTTTTTTTGTGACTTGTTTGAATCATTTACTCTTCGACACCCTGTAGAGAGATCTAAATACGTATAGGGGATATAGTCAAGAGCTATTCCGCTCATACTCCAAGCTCTGGTTATGCTACGACATAGGAACTCGGCTCTAGCGAACTGTCAAGGCACGACGGTGGCACGCGCGCTGCGAACAGTTAATTCGGCGATTTCGTACAGTTTTAACGACACTTTAACGTTGTCGCGAAGTTCACCGTATCGCTATATAATGATAATACTTCAATCACCGACGTAACTTCTACTATTATTATTGAAAATCTGTCACCGGTTATAACGCTCGTTGGTACACGATTTTGCAATTATCAATGCAAATGTATACATACTGTATATTATCCCCTAGAAAAACCGTTTCGCGGAAAAATCCTTATCGAGTACAGAATTGTTGTGAATTTCCCACCTTAAAAGGAAATACGTACATTTATATCATGCATTATTGTTCTACTAGCAAAAATTCATATTATACTGCCAAGAAGCATAAGTTACTACATATATGTATATTATATGATCTAGCATTAACTCATAATTTCAATTGTATTTTTGAAATTTCTTGTAACATCTTTGATACTCTTTGGTGTTAGTATTGCTTCTTATATTTAATTATGTAATAATGGTCATTTAATAATTAATAAAAACGTTAAGAGTATCTTATTGGGTACCACTTGGCGGATCCGTGCCCAATATTGTATTTACATTACTGACTTCGAGATACCTTGAAATTCCTCGTCCGATACCTAGACATAAGGAACTGCGGAGAGGAAGGCCTGGACACCCTAGAACTCGAATTCCACCATATAAAATACAGGAAACTACGTCGAGTTGCGCGCGCGTACACACACCCGCAGGCGCGCGCGTGCTGTACGCGAATGGTCTGTTTCTTGTGAGGGTTAAAGGATTAATTAATAATTTTATGCTGTTGTGAAGGCAGCTTGACACACAAAATATGTTTTTTTTTGTATTGTATATCTGTGAATTGCCAGCGCCATCTGTTGTTTAAAAAAATATTAGGTTGGAACATAATAATTTTAAAACTTTTTAAGATAAACTTCTCGTTATATTTTTCTTAAAGAGTAAATACAATTTTAATTAACATATAATTCATCATTAACAATATTGCACTGGACACGCAATCTAGTATTCATACCCGCACTCCTAGAAATTTTCAAAAGCTTCTCTAAAGTTTGAGACTAATATCAAAATAGTTGTCGGATTATTATGTTCCAACCTAATAATAAAGGCTAAGTAGTCATCCGTCGTCTAGAAAAGTAAATGAACATGTGAAGACGACGGAACACAAATAAGCTGATATCGCTCGCCCTCTCAATACGTCCTGATCTCGTAAACCAAGCTCTTTGATCTTGGTGACAATTGATTCCGAACTCCCGATTCCTATAATGAATCTATCAATAACTTTCTCTCATATATACCAATTCGTAAGATATTTGATTCCAAAAATAGGTACAAGACTTGGCTCGGGTAAAGTCTCGGCGGGTCGTGCCCTGTACAACCGGTTGTTTGTACTTGTCGCGAGACTCGACCGAGTTTCTTGATAAGATATGACAAGGTCATGGATTTCATAACAATAAACTAGGCGTGAATACATTATACTAAAGTCCTTTTCTTATATTCTGCGTATATATTTAAACGTCAGGAATTATTATTAAAATAATAGATAATTCTTAGGCTTGTAGATATATTACTGTGTTAATATAAATATACGTAATTTTAGATTTATATCAAAAAATTAAAAGTGCGTACTAAACGGTGATAAATAGGCAATGTATATTAGTGGGAAAAAAATTCTCTCGGTATAAAATTAAATCAAAATAAAGTTATTGATATAATAATTAATATATTAATTTTACTTACCAAAATGTATATAAGATTATTGTATCGATTACTCACAATTTTCTAGGTTTCCGTAAATGAATTTGTTTATATCAAAGCAGTGGGTGAGAATAGTTTCTTCTATGAGAGTTACTAGAAACGAAGTGAACTGCTGTACAGTCTTATTTCAACTGTGTCAATGTACGACTATGTATGAATGGTATAAGGCCGCAATATCAGAAAGACTTTATTTGTTATCGCTATTACAGAATAACTTCAAGAAATATTCCAATATTAATACTTGGACTCCATTAAATGGTATAATTATCGCCTGCGAGTATACGTGATAAATAAAGCAACGCTATATGTACCTAGGTATATTATATGACACGTTTCTTTTAAACTTTAGATATGAAAAGAAAGAAGTTCTACCTATCAATAATTATCAGGTATGAATTATGAAAAAATAAAAGTATGAGAAATACAAGTCTCCCATTCTTTACTAAATCACTAAATTCTTGGGTGCTTTCATGAAATAGCTTTAGCCTTCCTGGCCTTAGGGTTCGCTTTGCCACTTCATGCTCTTCTGATTCTCCGTCATAGTTGAAATACCCTACGTGCCGAACGCAAGAGAAGAGTTATAAAGCTGGACGCATTGTTCCGCGATAACTACGGTTCATGGTAGATACTCTCAGTGCGAAATGAAAACCAATGGATAGAAGCAATGAATCGAGGTTTACACTCCTATGAATACTTTCACAGGTATACATATGTATACTACGAATGTAAAGGAATCTTATTTTTTATTTCGACATTTATTTCTAAGACTTTGTTACCTTAGATTGATCTCCCACTGATTAAGATGCATGCAACCGTCGAGGTGACAGCAAATGGATTGAAAGTAGCTGCTCACTATAGATAATCTTTATTATTATAGAAAAACAGTTTACTTGTCTTACTATCAAAAGAGGTAAAAGAAATTAATTGGAGTATTATAGAATCTTTGGATAAATAGTCTATTCCTGGAAAAAGTCATGAATCTTTATTAAAATTTCCAATACGTAATACCTATTAAAGAAACATCAAATCAGGCTCTGGAGTAATACTAGCTATTCGTTACACAATTAGGAAACGCATGAAGCTGTATAAGATGCCCGTATAGAGGAATATCGAGTGCAACTAATTCGTCGGAGATGATGAAGGGATGTAGATGTAATTAATACATCATTAGAAAAATATTTCCACGGTGATACCTTAGAACTCTTTACCAGGAGCTCACTAGGTAGGTTACTCGACACTGAGATCCTTTCATCGTTCAGCCTTCAGAAACGGACTATATTACTCGGCAGTTTCATCGTCCTGAAACGTGAATAAGTGAGTAAGGTTAGAGGGTTGAAATGCTGGCGAGGATTGAAGGGCTGGGAGTGAGTGCGGCCAGTGGTTCCTCGCCAGTGAACACGAGTTACTCGTGGAAACTCCCTTTCTATGTGTCACACTCTCAAAAGTCATATCCGGCGGTAGCACGTGAGCGAGTATGAGTTAATTCGAAGATCCTCGGTGACCGTAACGCGTTCCGACGTAGAGCATCGCAACGCTCACCGTTTTACTAGTCAGTAACGTCCATCCTTGGTACGTTTTCTAGCCGAAGGGTATAACTTTGTGGATTTTGAAATATTAAAAGTCTTTCGAGCACCGAATTGTCTAAAACATATCTTACTGTTGACGAACTTTTGTCTTATACAATTTTATTGTACGTTTGCTCTTAGATTACACCGCTGGCTTCTCTATGCGCAACAGTAATATACAAGCACGAATATACCTAGGCTATATCCAACCAGGTAAGTGGTGGATTGGCCGTATTGAATTTGAACGCCGTTCTAAGCACACATAGTCTGGCCAAGTGCAGCGGAAAGCACACGTTAAGGTAGATTTATGCTGGTTCGGAGTGGAAGAATTTCATGATTCTTTTTTCTTTACCCTTCGTGTCATTTTGTTTTCGTTTTATGTAGGTACTTTCTATGTTTTTTTATCTTATCTCTTTAATTCTTCCTTTCTAGTTTCGTTCAAGCTCTTAACATATCACTGTAGTAGCTACTACTGGGGCTGTCTGATGTTTCGTTTTAGCTTGGCTTCTGAATTAAGTAAAATGTATTTTCGTACCTGCTACGTCTATCCTTAACATTATTATGAGTTTGGAAATCTGGTAACAAGCGGATAAACCGCAATTTCGAAGAAAGTTTAATCATTACGGTAAGAGTAAACGGAAGCCAACATCTCGCGAGACTAATTAATGATGAAATGCCCGGCTAATTATTCAAGGTCATTTTACCGTAATAAGAGGAAAATTATGTTTTATACGATGACAATTAAAACTAGTAACACTCGAGAAACAACTAGAATATACATATAGATTGTCTTAGCATTGTAATTGATTGCATCCTGTAATCTTAACGTTTCCATTTCAGGAAGTGTCGCGAGGAAAGGATTGTATTGCGTCAGATAATATTGTGCTATGAAAGACTGTTACCTTTTACATGTTTTTTTAACGCTCTAGAATCTCTTTACTACTATTACTTTTTTTTTTTCATTACCTTTCTCTTATTAATTTGATTTTCAAATATTCAATCTTTGCCTCATTTTATAATTATATATAAAGCAACGAAAATACGAACTCTCGAAGAAAAGCGTATCTTCCGCGGGAGTTTCGTGGAAGTGAAAGCCGTTAAGTACCAGCTTGAGAAAATCAATGCTAAATCGGAGGTGAATCTCCGAAAGCTTATCGAATAAGGCTGTAACTTTGCATTAAGACTTTCTTCATGGCATTGCTTCCATGAGGTCGACTATAGAATCCCAGCGCACAACGGCCGTCTGTTTCTCCACTCAATCCAAATACAATCTCGCTCGCACACACGTTAACCATTCCTGAACGATGAGAGTGCCGTGTAGAGGTTCACAAGGGAATACAGAGTGTCCTCAAAAGCACGCTTCGTCGAGCTCTAGGTATTATTTGAAACGTACCTGTAAACAGCATAACAGCTACTGAGATGAGCTAGTGCTTCTATTAGATCACAAAAGAAATCGGTTATCAAGGAGAACAAATTACTACATTAAAAAAAATTTACTTTTGCTTCCTCATAGAGGAAGCTATGTGACGGTGGAAAATTTTCCTGTCGAGATTTTCATGTCACCATGTTCAGAATGTCCAAAACGTCGAGAAAACACGTTTGGAGAAAATGTCCGGATGTATGTGGCTGTGTGTGTGTATGTGTGTAATGGCCTCCCAAAATTCAAACGTGTATAACTCGAGAATGGTTTTAGCTACAGCCCCCCAATTTTGCAGGCATATGCAGCTCTATAATCCCTTCATTGACTATAATTTTCGTCATGATTCAAGCTGTGACTCAAAATTGATGTCATTTTCAAATTTCCAAAAAAAGGACGTTCACACTAGCGATCGCAAATTTTGTGATAATCGTCTAAATAGTTATTGAAAAAGAGATATATATCCAAGGTTGATTGGTATTGAATTTGGGCCGAATCCATCGAGAAGTTTTGCTTTTATGATATTTTGAATTTTTCGAAAAATTAAATTTATCAATATAACTCCCGTCAACTTTAACCGATTGAGCTCCAATTTTCGAAAAGTATAGAGTATCATTTAGCCGTGATATATCTCAAATTTGGCGGAGAACGGGAAAACGGATCTGATTATACGTATATTCAAGTTTTTGAATTTCAGCCAATTCAAAAATATTAGGCCCGAAGAGATCATGCAAGAGATTTATCCTTACATGCGTTCTCTACAGTATGAAGCACCTCAAGTTGTGAGAGGCATGGGGACTCACGTTAAACAAGCTGCAAGTTGAAACTTGCAATTTGCTTCCTCCGAATCGTAAGTAGTGTCCCTATATGAGGGTGCCAAGAATTTTAATTTTGCAATTTGCTTCCTCTGAATCGTGGGTAGTAGATGGAAATTTATCTATGAGGAAGCCAAAGATAAAAAAAAATGAAAATGCTTCCTCATATAAGGACTTCGTACACTACTTACGATTCGGAGGAAGCAAATTGCAAGTTTCAACTTGCAGCTTGTTTAACGTGAGTCCCCATGCCTCTCACAACTTGAGGTGCTTCATACTGTAGAGAACGCATGTAAGGATAAATCTCTTGCATGATCTCTTCGGGCCTAATATTTTTGAATTGGCTGAAATTCAAAAACTTGAATATACGTATAATCAGATCCGTTTTCCCGTTCTCCGCCAAATTTGAGATATATCACTTATTTCTACTTTGCAAGCAAGTATCTCAGTCTTATCTTTATAAACCCTTATCCTTCGAGTTAAAATGTTTGACATGGCTCATATATTGAATATGTATGATAGATAAGAATCCACATGTTAAGTATGAGATAACTATGTTATATGTCTCACAAATCTTGTATACAATGAACGATCTATTTAACCATATTTCAAGATTTACCCATCGCTCAAGATAATATCGAATGTCCATTTTTAATTATGTGCATATTGCCTTTATGCTTTTGTGCTGATGTGCATGTATTACATGTGTCGTATCAACTTGTGTTAAAGTACGACCGCATAAAATACATGGGAGTGTCTTATGCATTAGCCAACCAAAAAAAGGGATGTGTGTGTATATACATATGTAGGTGCACGCAAAATTTTGTGGTAAGGTTCCAAACGAACAGCTGAACCGTAAACATTTGTAGAGAATATCAAGTTCTGGATGTAGATGGAATAGTAATATTTACAGATCTCAAGCATCTCCGGTTTCAAAACGGCACACGCACTAATATGCAAAAGTTTAGTGTCTTATGCGTGCATAAAAATATTGGATGAGCCGCTTAACTAAAATGGGTCAAATTTACAGAAAAAAATCATGAGCAGGTTAATGGAACATTATTTGGAAATTCGAAGCACTTTCAATTTTAAAAGTTCTACATCAGTGAAGTTAATATTCTTTTGGAACGGCGAATGTATAAGATGCGACTGCCTGTTCCAAGCGGTTGTGACTTAAGGGAAACCAGCTTGTAGTGATAGTTCTATTGGTACATTTATTATGGAACGGATTTAGACATGTAGATGTTGTAAGATTAAATAGGTGTTTTCGAAAAACGTAGAAGAAGTATGGATGGTAGTCAGTTTAAAAATAAATAGACAGTATGAATAGATCAATTCGAAATATAATA